AATTTATATTTAATTAATAGAGTTAACGGTCAACTAATAAAATTAATAATTAATAATATTATAAAATGAAGATTATTTTCTTCAATTCTAATAAGTAAGGATTTAAAAGTATCATAGTATAAAATAAAAAGTTAAAACTTATAAATCTAATAAGGTAAAATGACAAAACTAGATTTTTGCCGACAGGGTTATCCTTCTGGTTCAGGTTTTATTCTATTTCATTTCATGGCTCCTATTTATGGCTGCTGAAGGCGATCTTGGACACAGGCCCCATAGTTTCTTCACTTTCTCTTCTTCAATCTCAGGTTTTAGCCTTTACTCATTTAAAGAGTCATCCTTGTTCCATTTCTTCCCAGTTTTAGATACAGAAATTACAAAGCTCACTTTCCTTTTTTGTTTTCTGGGTTCTTTTTCATGTGCCTGGTTGGTTTTTGCTTGAATTTTCAACTGTGTCCTTTTTTTTTTTCGATATTTTGTTTAGATCTTCATATTGTTGAACTATGAATGGTTTTTTTTTTTTTAATGGTTTTGAAGCAGAGGTGAAATTAGCCGTTGGCATGGCTAGGCAATTCACCATGAACAGAGTAGGGCTATGGCTTCTGGTGGTCGTAGTGCTTTTCTACAATGGGATTTGCATAAATGTCTCCACAAGACCTGAAGTTGTAACTGTTGGTGTTATGTTCTCATTCAATTCCGTAATTGGAAAGCCTTCAAAAATCGCAGTAGAAGCAGCAGTTGAAGACATAAATTCCAACCCAGGAATCCTCAAGGGAACTAAACTAAACTTAGAAATGAAGGACGCCGATTATAGTGAATTTCTTGGCATTGTAGAGGGTAATCAATAATCATTCTTCATATAATATGTTCAATGTAACTCTTGTGTGTCTGTTCAAAAATAATCTCATTTTTCTTGCAGCTTTAAAGTTCATGGAGAAAGAAATGGTGGCCATAATTGGCCCTCAATCTTCCGTGACGACACATGTGATATCCCACGTTGCAAATGTGCTTCAACTCCCTCTATTATCATTCTCATCCACAGATCCCACCCTTTCCCCGATTGAGTTCCCCTTCTTTGTCCGGACTGCTCAGAATGACCTGTATCAGATGGCTGCAATAGCAGAATTGGTGGATTTTTACGGATGGAGAGAGGTGATAGCAATATATGAGGATGATGATCATGGGAGAAATGGGATTGCTGCTTTGGGGGATAAGCTGGCTGAGAGACAGTGTAAGATATCTTATAAAGCAGTTTTGAGCCCCGATCCAACTCGGGATGAAATCGCTGACTTGTTGGTTAACATAGCCATGTCATCAGAGTCTAGGATTCTTGTGGTTCATGTTCCAGGAAGTTGGGGTCCGTTAGTGTTCAGTGTGGCTCAACACTTTGGCATGTTGAGCAAAGGCTATGTCTGGATAGCTACAAATTGGCTATCCACTGTGTTGGATACTAATTCTCCTCTTGCTCAGGAGGATGCGATGGATAATATTGAGGGAGTTCTCACATTACGGATGTACACACCAGAGTCAGAACTCAAAAGGAAGTTTATTTCCAGGTGGAGCAACTTGACCAGAGGAAAGGTGGTTGATGGCCGCCCCATTGGGCTCAATGCTTATGCTCTATATGCCTACGACACAGTCTGGCTGCTTGCTCGTGCACTGGATGCATTTTTCGAACAGGGAAGGAACATTTCATTCTCAAATCAATCCCAGGCATCCATGCTGCAGGGAGGAAATGATCTGAGTGTCTTTAACGGAGGGAAACTGTTGCTTCGTAACATTTTACAGGTTAGCATGAATGGTTTAACGGGCCAAGTCAGGTTTACTTCAGATAGGAACCTAATTCATCCAGCATTTGAAGTCATCAATGTGATAGGAAACGGGTACAGGAGGATTGGCTATTGGTCTAACCATTCCGGGTTATCAATCCTACCCCCAGAGACCCTTTGGTCAAAACCTCCTAATCGTTCCAGCTCTAACCAAAAACTACATGATGCGATCTGGCCAGGACCGACGAAAGAGAAGCCTCGTGGATGGACTTTCCCAAACAGTAGAAGGCATTTGAAGATTGGAGTCCCAAATCGTGTGAGTTACAGGGAATTTGTCTCTGTGCACGGTCAATCAATCACTGGTTACTCAATTGATGTATTCACTGCTGCTCTAAACTTGCTCCCATATGCTGTTCCTTATAAATTGATAGCATATGGGGATGGACTTACCAACCCAAGTGGCCTTGAGCTAGTGCGGCTGATCACAGTAGGCGTAAGTCATGAACAGAATCTCACCATGCCTTGCTAGAATAATAAAAAAAAAAGAACAAAAAAAAAGAAGGAAGCAAAACCGCTCCTTTCTGATCCTCCAGCTCCCTTTTTCTATTTCAGGAATTTGACGCAGTGGTAGGCGACATTGCCATCACTACCAACAGAACAAGGATGGCAGATTTTACACAGCCATATATAGAATCAGGACTTGTTGTAGTGGCACCAGTGAGGGAGGTTGACTCGAGTCCTTGGGCATTCCTACGGCCATTCACTGGGAGTATGTGGGCTGTAACAGCTATCTGTTTCTTAGTTGTGGGAACCGTCATCTGGATTTTGGAACATCGGTTGAATGATGATTTCCGAGGCCCTCCTAGAAGACAAGTAGTGACCATTCTGTGGTAAGCAACTAAGCATTTGCTCTTTGTTCCCTTAAGTTTGTTCATCACTTGACATTCTATGCTTCCACCACGCAGGTTTAGTTTCTCAACATGGTTCTTTGCCCATAGTAAGTGAAACATTCTTATATCAAAATCTTCGCCTTAGCTATAAAAAGCAGCTTCTCTAATTAATTATCTGTTCATCACTTGCTTCTTTTTTCTGTTCTATACAGGGGAAAATACAGTCAGTGCACTTGGTCGCCTACTTCTAATTATCTGGCTATTTGTAGTTCTTATAATCAACTCTAGCTACACTGCAAGCCTTACTTCCATCCTTACAGTTCAGCACCTTTCTTCTCCTATTAAAGGCATAGAAACTTTACTGTCAAGCAGCGATCCCATAGGCTACCAGCGGGGTTCTTATGCTCGAAATTATCTAATTAATGAACTAAATGTCCATGAATCACGGCTCATACCTTTCGATTCCCCGGAAGAAGCCGCTAAGGCCTTGAAAGACGGTCCCAATAAGGGTGGTGTTGTTGCAATGGTGGATGACCGTGCCTACATGGAGCTTTTTCTCTCAACTAGATGTGAATTCAGCATTATAGGACACGAGTTCACCAAAAGAGGATGGGGTTTTGTGAGTATATACATACATTCCTCATCAACACTGCTTTTTTCTGCATTTAATGCTCATGCAGGCTGACATTTGTTGTATGTTGATCAGGCATTTCGAAAGGGCTCCCCATTACCATTGGACATGTCAACTGCAATTTTGAAGATGTCAGAGGACGGAGACCTCCAGCGGATCCACGACAAATGGCTGTCAAGACAAGCATGCAGTTCAGAGGGTGCAAAGACGGAAGTGGACAGGCTTCCTCTCAGGCGTTTCTGGGGCCTTTTCATTATCTGTGCGTTTGCATGCATTATTGCGCTCTTTCTACATTTCCTGAAGATGGTGAGACAGTTCAGCAAGCACTACCCCGAGGAACATCAGTATTCCAGTCGAAGCTCACGCACTGCACGGTTCCAGACATTCTTTTCATTCTTTAATGAGAAGGAAGATGATGTTAGAAGCCGATCCAAGAGAAGGCAAATTGAGGGATCCTCGAGCAGAACTGACAATGGATCAACTAGCAATTCCAACTACGATAGAGGACATACAGATACAGAAATTTCTCCAGACAAAACAACTGGAAATAGTTGTCAAGTATAACTAGTTATATATGCCATGGAATGGAACCTCTTGGCTCCAGTGTATCTCTTCTATAGAATTGTTAAAAAAGCTGTATCATGCTCTGCTCATCGGTGTCACTTTGGATCGAATGGAAAAACTAAAACAAGGATCACTTAAATACAAACTAACAAACCCCAGAACCCAAAATTCTGAATAATTATTCAAGATTAAAAAAAATTCTAAATTTATCTCATATGAAGGTGGGGTGGTTTCTCTCCCTCCACAATTGTATATAGCTCAGATACGTAGCTAACATGTTAATTAGAATAATTATTCAGCAAAAGCCGAATGGTTGGTGAGGAGTAACGAGAAGTCACCACCGCAGTGAGCCCGCCTGGTCATAACCGGCAACTAGCCCATCAACCACTCCAGTACTCTCTCTGTGCAAGGCAACAATTGGATTGGGAAAAGAGTGGAAATAAAGGAAAGGAAAATAGAAAAAGGAAGATGTTATTCAACTTCCTGCGAGAATCTGCAGTTATGGTACGGCGGCGTCCCCGCTGCCCCACTCCACATTGTTGGGGCACTGCATTTGCCATATCCGCCAATTAATGCGATCGTTCCTAGTTCATTCCTCATTCCAGCCCCAAATCCACCATTTTCGAGCTCCGTGAATCTTCAAACAATCGGTGTGTTTTTCTTAATTTGATTTCTTTTATGTTTTTGTTCTGTGACTTTTTTGCAAAGATAAATGTAGATTCTTCACCGTTCGGGGCATCGATTTTATAATTTTTTTTTATTGAGCTGATGTCCAGGATTCTGTCCCTTCGTTTGTAATCTTTGGAATTTTGGGTTTTGTAAGGACAAGGCAGAGCTCAACACTTTGTTACAGTACTACAGTTGTACAATGATTACAATAAGACATCCGCACCCAATTATTAATCCTCACTTAATTTTTCGTCACCTATTTTGTCAGAATATACCATGTTCATTGTTTGCGGTTGTTTCAATAAGTCACGTTACGTCAAAGACACTATCCCATCCGACACATCATATCACTATTATGATGATTAAGAAAGTTATGTGGATGTCTTGTCAAGACATATCAATGCATTCACACATAATTCTAAAGAAGTATGATGGAAAAAACAAGAGGAAAAACTTTTTCAATATTTTTCTTAAAAGTGTAGATTAAATTATTATTAATTTAAGTATTAAAGTGTCTATCTTAAAAATCACTTTCGGAGCCTTGCAGGTTAGTCTCATGAGGTAGTTGTAACGAAGAAGGTCTTGAAGATTTGCTGCATCAACAGTTTTTTTTTTTTTTTGGTTTTTACCATTCTAGATAACTCTTTTTATTTTTAACTCAATACTTATTGTATATATATATTTTAAATGTTTGAATTAATTTCTTTGACACAATTAATAATTAATAGTTAATATTTGATAATTAATAATTATGGATATTTATAATTTCAAATATTATATCTATTTAACTAAAATAAAAAATAAATAACTATTTTCAAAAGGTTAAAATAAATAACTTTTAAAATTTTTAATTTTTCCTAAATAAAATTGACACTAAACTAAGCTATGTAATTAATTCACTAAAATTTTGCTTTGTTAGGTATCAACATTGTTGTCAAAATCTAGATTTAAATCTTAAAATCTTACGATTTTACGATTTCAGCAAGACATTTCGTGTAAAATCTATACTAAAATTTGAAATTCATAAAATCTGAGGATTTCACGGTAAAATCTAGATTTTATCGTTAAATCAGGTAAAATCTCGATTTTAACTTCTGTTTGGTAGCTGGATTTTTTATTTTAGTTCAATACCAAAATAATCTCTAAACTTTAATTTAGTATCAATTTAATCCTTAAATTTTAAAAATAAGTACCAATTTAGTTTTTCAACTTTGATTAAAAGTACTAATTTGGTCATTTAGCTTTAATTACATGTCAATTTGATATTTAAATAGAAATATAAAACGATAACAAAATACAACTATTTAATTTTATATATAAAAAAGAATTAGTTTTGTAACAAGATAATGAGTTACATGATATTTTTGTTAACGGAAAGAATATTTTAGTACTAAAAATTAAATTTCAAAAATAATTTTGATATTTTTTTGAAATACAAAGATAATTTTAATATAAATTTACCAATTAAAAAACCAAACTAGTATTTTATCCTTATGCCAATCACCCTTGCATGGGAGTAAAAATATTGTAGAAGGAAGGGAGTATCTTTTAGTATTTGAGTCAATTCCCACGAGTTTCATACACATTTGTTATTTTTTGTCTTCTAGTATGAAAGGCACTTCCGCTGTTTCAAGTTGAAAATCATTACCCCACGATTCATGGGGTAAAAGTTTAATTTTAATCCTTCATTTTATTAAGTTTGAAGGTTTTAGTCCCTCATCTTATATTATGATATTTTTAATTCCTCGTCTTACTAAATTTATAAGTTTTAATCCTCATTTTATATTATGACATTTTTAACCCCTCACATATTAAAATTTTAAAAAATAACATTTATTTTGTAACATTTTGTTAATTTTGCTAACTGACTGTTAATTCTATTATTTGGCTGTTAGTTGATTGTTAATTGACAAAAAAACTTCTTTCAGTTAATAGAATTAACAAAATTAATTTTATAATATTTTATTAATTCTGTTAACTTACTATTAATTGATTGTTAATTGATAAAAACCTATTTTGAGCTAACAGAGTTAACAGTTAATATAAAATTAGGGTTATTTTATTCGATTTTAATAAGTGATGGGTTAAATTCTACAAATCTAATAAGATAAAAAGTTAAAAATGTCATAATATAAAATAAAAGATTAAAATCTTCAAATTTAATAAGATAAAGGGTTAAAGTCAAGTTTTTGACAATTCATGGTCCATGCCACAAACCAAGACGGCATTCTCTTCCATCTTGGGCCAAAATGGAGTTCCCACTTCCGCCCTCCTACATTGAAACTTGTACGATCCCACTTTCAAGGTTCATGTCATTGGACGAAACTTGTAGACAAGTCAATCATCTGTTTTACTTTTTGGTTCTCGTTAAGAAAGGCCAATCATACCGTTCTACTTTTTGGTTCATTGTTCATAAAAGTCAACATCTGTTTCTCTTCCCTCCCATGATAATTCTCATAACTCCACCAAACTTGAGTTTCTGTGTAGCCAACTCTAATTTTTTTTAGTAGAAGCTTTCTTTGAGTAAATTTTTTTAAAGAAATATTATTCTATTATAAGAATGTCTTATTTTGTTGGTTCGATTGTATTACGTTATAAAACATAAATCATCAAAAAGAAAGAAAACTACCTTTAACGTTGAGGAAGTATGCTCTTAGTGTTTTTTCTTTCTTTTTTAGTTTAATAGTTAAGGTATTTTTTTACTAATTGATGTATATTTCAAAATTAATCTTTCTTTGATCTAATAAAAAATAGATAATCCATATTTAAATTATAAGATTTATTATAAATTACTTTTATATTAATCTCTTTAAAAATTTAACTTTTAATCAATAAAATAAAAAATAAATATCTTTATTAATTAAATCACAACTCTTTAAATTATTCTTTATATAATTAAATACAAACTACATAATATTTAAAACTATAAACTTTTAAATAGACCATTGTTTCTATTAAAAAAATCAGTTTACCATTTAAAAAAATTGCGTTGACTCCTGTTTAACTTTTACTGCAAAACAATAAAATCTTCTAGAAATATGGCAATGATGTCAAAATTTTCTGGAAAATTCTTTAAAGCATCCAATAATATCCTAGAACTTTTGTTACTTTCTTCATTCGGACCACACATTCCCCTACCGTAGGGATTAGGAGTACTAAGATAAAAGACAATGATGCATCTAGCGTTTTACATCTCACAACCAAATTATTTTTTCTATTTTTTTTTAATTATTGAACTCAGTTAGTTTTTCAACTTGATTAGATTCCCTGTTCCCTCCAACCCACTCACCTAAACAGGGGATCCCCATCTGGTTCAGCTTTTTCATTCTATTTTCATGGCTCCATGTTCAAGGCTGCTGAAGGTGATTTTGCACGGGGCTCCCTTGTTTCCCGTGAGTTCACTTTTTCTCTTTCTAACTCAATGTTCAGCCTTTACCCATTAACTAAAGAATCATGTCTTTTTCCGTTTCTTTCCACTTTTAGATACAAAATTACAAACTCCTTTTTCCTTTTTGGTTTTCTGGGTTCATGTGTCTGGTTGGTTTTTGCTTGAATTTTCAGCTTCTTCTTTGTTTTGTTTAGATCTGTCTGTATTTGTGGTTTTGAACTATGAATGTTGTTTGGTTTTGAAGCAGAGGAGAAATTAGCCGTTGGCAAGGCAATTCACCATGAACAGGGTAGGGCTATGGCTTCTGGTGGTCCTAGTGCTTTTCTACAATGTGATTTGCATAAATGTTGCCACAAGACCTGAAATTGTAACTGTCGGTGCTATGTTCTCATTCATTTCCCCAATTGGAAAGCCTTCAAAAATTGCAATAGATGCAGCAGTTGAAGATATAAATTCCAACCCAGGAATCCTTAAGGGAACTAAACTCAGAATAGAAATGATGGACACCAATTATAGTGGATTTCTCGGCATTGTAGAGGGTAATCAACAACCATTTTTTGTATAATTATATTCAATAAAACTCTTGTATGTTGGTTCAAAACTATTCTCATTTTTCTTGCAGCTTTACGGTTCATGGAGAAGGAAACGGTGGCCATAATTGGCCCTCAGTCTTCTGTGACGGCGCATGCTATATCCCACATTGCAAATGTGCTTCAACTCCCTTTATTATCATTCGCATCCACGGATCCTACCCTTTCCCCAATTCAGTTCCCCTTCTTTGTCCGGACTGCTCAGAATGACCTGTATCAGATGGCTGCAATAGCAGAATTGGTGGATTTCTACGGATGGAGAGAGGTGATAGCAATATATGAGGATGATGATCATGGGAGAAATGGGATTGCTGCTTTGGGGGACAAGCTGGCTGAGAGACGGGGTAAGATATCATATAAAGCAGCTTTGAGCCCCAATCCAACCCAGGATGAAATCACTAACTTGTTGGTTAAGATAGCCATGTTTGAGTCTAGGATTATTGTGGTTCATGTTCCAGGAAGTTGGGGTCCAAAAGTGTTTAGTGTGGCTCAGCAGTTCGGCATGTTGAGCAATGGCTATGTCTGGATAGCCACAAGTTGGCTATCCACTGTGTTGGATACTAATTCTCCTCTTGGTCAGGATGCAATGGATAATATTCAGGGAGTTCTTACACTGCGGATGTACACCCCACAGTCAGAACTCAAGAGGAAGTTCATTTCCAGGTGGAGCAACTTGACCAGAGGAAAGGTGGTTGATGGCCGCCCCATTGGGCTCAATGCTTATGCTCTGTATGCCTACGACACAGTCTGGCTGCTTGCTCGTGCGCTGGATGCTTTTTTCGAGCAGGGAGGGAACATTTCATTCTCAAATCAACCTCTGGCATCTAAGCTGCGGGGAGGAAACTTGCATCTTAATACCCTGAACGTTTTTGATGGAGGGAAACTGTTGCTTCGTAACATTTTACAGATTAGCATGAATGGTTTAACAGGTCAAGTCAGGTTCACTTCAGATAGGAACCTAATTCATCCAGCATTTGAAGTCATCAATGTGGTTGGCAATGGGTACAGGAAGATTGGCTGCTGGTCTAACCATTCTGGACTATCAATCCTACCTCCAGAGGCCCTTTGGTCAAAACCTCCTAATCGTTCCAGTTCTAACCAAAAACTACGTGATGTGATCTGGCCAGGACAGACAACAGAGAAGCCTCGTGGATGGATTTTCCCAAACAGTGGAAGGCATTTGAAAATTGGAGTCCCAAATCGTGTGAGTTACAGGGAATTTGTCTTAGTTCAGGGTCAATCAATCAGTGGCTACTGCATTGATGTATTCACTGCTGCTCTGAACTTTCTCCCATATGCTGTTCCTTATAAGCTGATAGCATATGGGGATGGGCGTACCAACCCGAGTGGCACTGAGTTAGTGAGTTTGATCACAGCAGGCGTAAGTCAGGAACAGAATCTCACCATGCCTTGTTATGAAAAAAGAGAGCAAAATGGCTCTTTTCTGATCTTCCAGTTCCCTTCTTCTATTTCAGGTATTTGATGCAGTAATAGGAGACATTGCCATTACCACCAACAGGACAAGGATGGCAGATTTTACACAACCGTATATACAATCAGGACTTGCTGTAGTGGCACCAGTGAAGAACGTTGACTCCGGTGCTTGGGCATTCCTGCGGCCATTCACTGGGAGTATGTGGGGCGTAACAGCAATCTTTTTCTTGGTTGTGGGATCCATCGTCTGGATTTTGGAACATAGGTTGAATGATGATTTCCGAGGCCCTCCTAGAAGGCAAGCAGTGACTATTCTGTGGTAAGTAACTAAGCATTTGCTCTTTTGTTCGCTTGAGCTTATTCATCACTTACAATCTATGCTTCCACCACGCAGGTTTAGTTTCTCAACATGGTTCTTCGCCCATAGTAAGTGAAGCATTCTTGTATCAAAATCTTCACCTTCACCTTAGCTATAAAATGCAGCTTCTCCTGAAACTTGCATCTCTGTTTTTTCTGTACAGGAGAAAACATAGTCAGTACAATGGGTCGGCTAATTCTAATTATCTGGCTATTTGTAGTTCTTATAATCAACTCTAGCTACACTGCTAGCCTTACTTCTATCCTTACAGTTCAGCAGCTTTCTTCTCCTATTAAAGGCATAGAAACTTTAAAGTCAAGCAGCGATCCCATAGGCTACCAGCAGGGTTCGTATGCTCAAAATTATCTAATTAACGAACTAAGTATCCACGAATCAAGGCTCAAACCTTTCAATTCACTGGAAGAATCTGCTCAGGCTTTGAAAGACGGTCCCAGTAAGGGCGGTGTTGTTGCAATGGTTGATGACCGTGCCTACTTAGAGCTTTTCCTCTCATCTAGATGTGAATTCAGCATTGTAGGCCAAGAGTTCACCAAAAATGGATGGGGTTTTGTGAGTAGATACATACATTCCTCATCAACACTACTCCTCTGCATTTACTGCTCATGCAGGCTGACAATGTTGTTTGTTGATCAGGCATTTCCGAAGGACTCCCCTTTAGCCGTCGACATGTCAACTGCAATTTTGAAGTTGTCAGAGAACGGAGACCTCCAGCGGATCCACGACAAATGGCTGTTAAGACGAGCATGCAGTTCACAGGGTGCAAAGACTGAAGTAGACAGGCTTCCTCTCAAGAGTTTCTGGGGCCTCTTTGTTATCTGCGCGTTAGCATGCCTTATTGCACTCCTTTTACATTTCCTGAAAATGGTGAGACAGTTCAGCAAGCACTATCCCGAGGAACCTCAGTATTCCAGTCGAAGCTCACCCACTGCACGTCTCCAGACATTCTTTTCATTCTTTGATGAGAAGGAAGATGATGTTAGAAGCCGGTCCAAGAGAAGGCAAATTGAGGGATCCACAAGCAGAAGCTGCAGAACTGACCGCGGATCAACTAGCAATCCCAACTACGATAGAGGACATATAGATACAGAAATTTCTTCAAACAATACAACTGGAAATGGTAGTCAAGTCTAATTAGTTATATGGCTTGGCATGGAATCTCTAGCTCCAATGTATATCTTCAATAGAATTTTAGAGGTGGAGTAAAACTGTATCATGCATGCTCTACTCATAGGCGTCACTTTGGATCAAATGGAAAAACTAATACAAGGATCACGTGTTAGAAAATATGAAAAAAGTAAAAGAGTAAAAGGAATGTTCTTGAGGCTTGATTTCACTTTCCTTAAGGATTTAAAATCTTTAAGGATTTAAAATCCATCAGGATACAATAAAACTCAAACATCTCTCAAAATTAGATGTTGAACTCTAACTTTGTATAGGAATTTATATGGCATGAAAAGTCACTATTTGTAGGGATGTATCCCTCCAGAAACACACTATTTCATAGATGTACCTTTTGACTGTCAAAAATTATATCTGATTTTCAGATATGTCTTTCCAAATTTTAATTTAATAAAATAAAATAAAATAATCCAAAAATAATAAAAATTAATGATGTTTTGGCAGTCATGCCTCAGGTACCCATCTTTTGACTATAAATAAAGGGGCAAGGCTCAATTTGCATTTGCTTTCGCTTTACTTAATTATTTGTTGATAAATAATAGACCTTTATAAACTCCTTTAAGTTTCCATACTTTTTTGAGTGAGATCTTAAACGTTTACAAACTATTCAACATTCCCCACTAGTTTGGAAATGTTAATTCAATTCTACTCAATAAGAAATATGCTTAAAGAAGGTATCTCTCGATTTAAACTTTCCATCAGTGTACATACTTCATATATAATGAAGTTTTTGGTGTCCAAGGATTAAACCATAACTACTTATATTAGACATAAGTGTGTGACACACATAAGACTTGTCTATCTAATCCAAGAGGTTTAAAACCTTTTAGCACTATTATGGCCATGTGCTCATCCTGCAAATAATAGTCATTTACAAGAGAATCCAACATATTCTTGTTGAAGCAACAACACTTCTATGACCATTTAGATGGAGTTATTTATGTCCCTGTCGCTATAGACACTTAGTACTGAACAACTCCATTAAGAGTATACACTCATTCTCCAAAACACAATAGACAACACTTGACTAAAGTAGGAATAGGTTTCAAGTGCTAAACAAGCATATATAATAACTTGTTCTTACCCATTAAACTTTAAATTTAGAAATGAATAAATAAAAGTTGGGTTCCCATTACCAATGCCTAATATTCGTAATGACATCATTTCCACCACATCTCGTGATAATGCTTTTGTGAAAGGATCAGCTAGATTGTCTGCAGACTTTACATAGATTATTGTTATAACTCTACTAGTGATCAACTCTCGAATATAAGTATGTCTAAGACTAATATGTCTAGATTTCCCAATATAAATATTGCTATATGCTCTAGACATTGTAGCCTCATTATCACAGTGCAAGGAAATGGCTGGCATAGGTTGTGGCCACAACTTTATATCAAGCAATAAATTTTTCAACCATTCTACTTCCTTGCCTGCTGCCGCCAAAGCAATAAACGCAGATTCCATTGTAGAGTGTGAGATGCATGTTTGTTTCTTTGATGCCTAACTTATTGCACCTCCTCCAAGTGTAAAGATCCAACCTGAAGTAGATTTGTTATCACTCTTACTAATAATCCAACTTGCATCAGTGTATCCTTCTAGGACCATTGGATAATCTGAGTAAACCAAACCAAGCTCTTTTGTCTTTTTGAGATAACCAAGAACTCTTCTAATAGCTTTCCAATGTTCATGGCTTGGTTTACTTGTGTATATTGATAATTTGCATACTAGAAAGGCGATGCCTGGCCTAGTACAATGCATGGCATACATGAAACTCCTAATTGCACTTGCATATTCCAATTGAGCAACAATATGACTTGAATTTAGAGTCAACTTCATACTGGGATCATATGGTGTAGGGGCTTCCTTTATATTAAGATGTTGGAATTTATTCAACATCTTTTCTATATAATGTGATTGACTGAGTACAAAGCCATGATCATGTCTCTTTACTTTAATACCCAAAATAGTATCTACTTCATTTAAATCTTTCATTTTAAAGATTGAAGTTAGATACTTTTTGGTTTCATTTATTCCCAACATGTTGGTACCAAATATCAACGTGTCATTAACATAAAGACATATTATTACTCCATAATCCTTAGTGAACTTTGAATAGATACACTTATCTGCATCATTACGCTTGAATCCATTTGTCAGAATATGTGTATCAAATTTCTAGTGCCATTGCTTGGGAGCTTGCTTTAGGCCATATAGTGACTTAACTAATTTACAAACTTTTCCTTCATTTCTAGGAAGTATAAAGCCTTTTGGTTGTTCCATGAATACTTCCTCACTTAAGTCACCATTCAAGAATGCTATTTTAACATCCATTTGATACACAAATAGCTTATAAATTGAAGCCAATGCAAAGAGAACTCTTGTAGAATTTATTCTTGCAACATGAGCATATGTGTCAAAATAATCTATTCTTTTTAAGGAAAACCTTTTGCAACCAACCTCACTTTGAAGGTTTATATTGTTCCATTTGTATTGTATTTTCCTATTTAGACCAATTGGTTTAGACCCATATGAAAGATCCACTAAAATCCAAGTATTATTGGACATAATAGAGTCCATCTCATCATTCACAACTTCTCTCCAAAAAGCTGCATCCCTTAAAGCCATTGCTTCTTGAAATGTTTTTGGATCTTCTTCAACATTTAATATCATGGGTATTTTCCAAATTAATTCAGTTCTGGTTACTTCAACTAGGAAGACAATAGATTGAGAAAAAATAAAATCATGATCAAAAGACTTTTCTCTCCTAATCCTTGTACTTCTTCTTGGTTCAATTGAACCATCATTCTCTTTTCTTTTCTCGTCATGAAGTGTACTTGTACTTGTACCATAATGATTTTCATGCATTGAATCATTCAAAAAATTTCCAGAATCAAACATAGTAGAAGAATCTTTAATAAACTTGCCTTCAAAGAACTCAATATGTACAGATTCTACTATAACATTTGACTCTAAATCTAGAAACCTATAGGCCTTAGAATTAATTGCATAACCAACAAATATACTTCTAATGCCTCTAGGTCCTAATTTTGTTTTTTGTGGGTTTGGAACCTTATAAAAGGCAAGACACCCCCACTCTAAGATAATTCAGATTTGATTTTTTATCATTATTCCAAGTCTTATATAGAGAAACATGAGTTTTTTTTTATGGAATTTTGTTGGTAACATGATTGGCAGTAAGAAATGCCTTTCTCTAAAGATTAAATGGCAACTTTGAATTTATCAACATGCAATTAACCATATCAACCAAAGTTCTATTTTTTCTTTCTGTCAAACCATTCTGTTGGGGTGAATAGGGGGCTATTCTTTGATGTATGATGGCATGTTCTTCACAAAATTGTGAAAATATATTTGAAAAATACTCACCATACCTATCACTACGAAGAGCTTTAATTCTCTTCTCTTTTTGATTTTCCACAATAGATTTATACTCTTTAAACTTATCAAAAGCCTCATCTTTTGTTCCCATAAGATATACATATGTAAATCTAGAACAATCATTAATGAATGTTATAAAATATCTTTTACCCCCTCTGGTAAGATGACCATTTAATTCACAAATATCATAATGCACTAACTCTAACATTTTTATATTTCTTTCTCTTTTTGGAAAAGGTTTTCTAGTCATCTTGCCTTGCACACAAATTTCACATTTATTTTTAAAATCATTTTGACAAGTTAAATATCCATACTTAGACATATATTTTAATGATTCATAATTCACATGTCCTAGTCTAGCATGCCATAAAGTAGAAGAACACTCAACAATATAAGCAAAAGCATTATTTATTTCATTAATACTTAATATGAACATTCCATCACAAGAATAACCTTTCCCCACAAAGTTGCCATTTTTTGATATAATGGCCTTGTCTGATTCTAAGACAACCATCAAGCCCCTTTTACATAACAGATTTGCAAACACTAAGTTCTTTCTAATATCAGGCACGTGGAAGACATTAACCAAGGTCAATTTTTGGCCTGAAGTGAACTTCAATTCCACTAGGCCTTTGCCTAGAACTTTTGTGATGACATTGTTTCCCATAAGCACTTCCTCTGGTTCCTTCAAGTCTTCATAAAACTTGAATTGTGCTTTGTTATTGCACACATGAACTGTTGCACCAAAATCCAGCCACCAATCCATGGACTTGGTTAGATTTGCCATGTTCAATTCAATCACCATCCCGACTTGCATAACAGAAACCATAACAATCAATTCATGCTCAATCAAATTTGCCTTGTTGCTTGTTTCTGCACTAGTGCCAAAACCAAAGTTCTTTGCATTATTTCGAAATTTGCAATCTTTTATATAATGACCTTTCTTACCACAATGGTAACAAGGCTAACTTTTCTTGAAAGCACTATTTTTCTTAAGAGGCTTGAGTTTATTCTGGAAAGGCTTGGTAGAATTTTGACTCACATAATTAACTTTTGAGGGTGCCAATATTGCATCTCTTGAACGATTTTCTGCCTTAATCTGAAGATATGTTTGAAACTGTTCCATAGTCAAAATTTCATCTGAATGCAGAACCTTTTTCCTATAATCATTCCAAATACCAGAATTTGTAATTCATGCACTTGATCCATGATGGAAATATCATCTTTCATTTCAAACTCAAAATATTTAAGTGCAAGAAACTTGTTCGTACCTTTATTCTCATGCTTGTATTCCTTTTCCAAAGCAATCCAAATTTCTTGAGGAGAAGAAATGTTGCAATACAGATCATAAAGTCTATCAGTGAGAGAATTTATAATGTGTCCATGACATATGAGTTCATCTTCTTCACGCTTCAACCTTGCATTCTTCACTCCTTCAGAATCATTTTCCTTCGGTGCTGGGATGGGTTGCAACTTTGGATCAAGAACGTATGACACCTTCCGTGTTGTTAGTAGGAAAGTCATCTTATCCTTCCAATGCATGTAATTGGTGCCATCAAACCTGTCCAATCTAACTACATCAGGATTCAGCAACTTGATGTTGACATTTAAAGGAAGAGCCATAAGGAATTTTAAATCCTTAAGATTGTTAGAAAATATGGAAAAAGTAGAAGAATAGAAAGACTGTTCTGAGACGTGATCTCACTTTCCTTGGGAATTTAAAATCCTACAAGATACAATATAACTCAAAACTCTCTCAGAATTAGATGTAAAGCTCTAACTTTGCGTAGGAATTTATATTACCTAAAAAGTCATTATTCGTAGGGATGTATCCCTCCAGAAAAACACTATTTCATAAAAATACCTTTTGACTACCAAAAGTTATGTTTAATTTTCAAACATGTCTTTCCAAATTTTAATTTAATAAAATAAAATAAAATAATCTCAAAATAATAAAAATTAATGACGTTTTGGCAGTCATGCCCCAAGTGCCCATCTTTTGACTATATATAAAAGGGCAAGACTCAATTTGCGTTGGGTTTCACTTTACTTAATTATTTGTTGATGAAGAATAAATCTTTATAAACTCTTTTAAGTCTCCATACTTTTTTGATATGGAATCTTAAACATTTACAAACTATTCAATATCACGTAATACAAACTAGCAATCTCTTGAACCCAAAAATTCTGAATAATTCTTCAAGATAAGAAAATTCCAAATTATCTCATAAAATTTCTATCATCTTTGCAAAGGGTCCAAAATTCTATAGTTGTTTTGTATGGCTGTTTCTCGAAGCTGAATCTCTCTAGAATTATACAGCACTGTCATTGGCAGTTCGGCGTTGTAGCAACAATGGTTGCCTTGTTTCAGGATGAGTTGTTCAGGATAAGATCCACATGAAGACTGTTGACCAACCAGTAAGTGCTAGAGCTGCAACCAAGTATGTCCATAAGAGGAGTATTGAACATTCATCTTGACCCACATCAAACAATTGGGTTATGGTTCCTAGAATTATGCAATCAACAATGTCAACAGGAAAACATAGAAAGGTAAATGATTATTATCCTGGAAGTTTAAGCTTTAAATGAAGTGAAATATGGTTACGTTGCTTACACTACTTACGAACACAAGTTGTACATTTGAAGAAAGAAAGTTTTCATAGTTAAAACACATTTTGATACATGGAGAAGAAGATGATCAATACTCACACTGCATAAGTGCATGTATTATACACCTTGTTCAAGGATCTCCTGGCGTCTAGTGCAAAGAGCCTACAGCAGGCAGTAGCCAGGAAAGCTCCCAACTTATTATCAAGACTTGCAAATTTGGCATGGAAGCCACCTGAAACAACGTCCAGAACCCCATCTTTGTTTTGGGATGTAACAGACAGAAAATGGATTCGGTTCCCTCTTTTTATTTCTTCTCCCTGTTTGTTGATGAGGATGAATTATCCAATCCAACTTGAACATTCAAAAATATCCAAGTACTTCAAAAAGCTGGGGAGAAGCAGGGGAAAGAACAGGACAAGGAGACCGGTGAAGGCACAACCATTTTATCAACACTCGGAAACTGCATGAGAGTCCATTCTCAGCAAAAATAGTGGGTTGGCAAAATGCCAAAATGGCATGTGAGCATATATCTATCTTCTTTGCTCTTTGTAATTGTTGACTCAAGTACTAATAGTAAGTTGGCTACTTTTCCTCAAGCTTTTTATTTGTTGGATTTTAGTTGATCCAGTGTGATATTATAAGTTTGAGTACTCCTTATACTCACTCAACAAAATAGTTATATGCCAAAATGACATGTTGATGCACTAAAATCACCCTAACAAGTGTACTAGTCGTCCCAAGTAATATAATGATGAGAAGAGTGTCGAACCCACGAGGATTGTGTCTAACTAAGTACCAAAACAATTAATCCAAATTTATTTGAACAACTAAATGAGAAGAAAGTTTAACTAAAAAAATAATAAAAGAAAAATAACAATTAAATTAAACCTAACCAAGATATGAGGTATTAAGGCATTGATTTCACCATAATCAATCAATATAAATTCTAGATTACCAAATTGTTGAGTGTTATTGCATGTGATGGCAGATTTTCCTAAATTAATTAACTAGCTTTCTCAAGTCAAGTTAATCCTTTACTGGTTTGTTAAATTAATTATATCTCTATGTAATTTTAAACAAACTAATGAGCATTAGACTCTATGGAAACCTCTAGTTTAAGAAAGGGGAGCTACTAACTCTCTTCTCTTCTTCCACTACCACATGTGAACTAATTACCACATGTGAGCTAATTACCTCTCAGTCTCATAGTCTAGCACACGGTTTATATTATTATTAGTCTAATCTACGCAATTCTTTCTCAAGTTCATGCATAAATCACTAAATCAATTGAAAGGTGATCAGACTTCCAATGCATTAAGTTCAATAATATAAACTCCTCATGTAAATAACTTTAATTGAAAGCATAAAATCACAAAATCCATATTGAATTGATTAAGCTACATCATAACTCTAATAGAATAAATCAGTTCATAATAAAAATAATAAAATATGAAATCAAAGTTATGAACATTCAAATATCAAAAAATAGATAAAAACTCAAGGAAAAACAAAACCAAATTTAAGGAAATCGAATTCCTTGATTTTCTATTGCTGATGGAACCTCAATCTTGATTTCCAATAATGCCCAAAAGAGGGCTACCACCAACCTCCCAAAACTTTCTTTAATTCTGAATTTAGATGTATATTTATAGGATTTTAAAAACCCTAATTGAAATAGAAGTAGGACTTGGAACAGAAATAGAAAACTAAATTTTGGATGCTGATCACGTGATGCTGACACTTCGGATTATGTGTTGACACAAAATAAGAAACAAAATCTAATTCTGGACGTTTAACACATGGTGTCGACACCCAGATCATGTGTCGACACTACACCCGCGTCGGGTTTATGGTTTCATTTTGCAATTTCTTCAATGGTAAAATAGCATATTTGGTTCCTGACTTCTGGATTCTGCACAAGTTGATCCTCAAGCCTCTGGTCTCTTCAATTTACTTCTAAAAAGTAAGATTTCTTCCAATTAAATCCTTTCCTACACAAAGAATGAAAACCATGTAAAATCAAACAAAATCCCATAAAACTCATCCAAATATCAATAATATCAAAGTAAAAATTCCCTATTAATATGTATATAAATTTAACTCATCACATGTGAGCATATATTTATGTACTTTGGTCTTCATAATTTTTTACGTAAATATTAGTAGTGGGTTGGTTACTTTTCTTAAGGTTTTTATTTATTGGATTTTTGTTAATTTAATATAATGTTATAAGTTTAAATACCCTTTGTACTTATATAATAAAAGAGTTTTTTGTTGCTCAAAATAATAATAATAATAGTGGGCTAACAAAATAACACGTGAGAGTTAACAATGATAGATTGTTAATCAACATGCACCAAATTACTAAATTGGTTAAAAAAAAAGGTCCATTAATAGGATGAAGATTTTAGAAACTTAGACGTTATACCTTATATTATCATATACTGTTGTTTCTGATTTTGTTTTTGTTTAATTAAACATGGTGTAGTTAAAATTTTAACATCCTAGACTAAAAATAATAATAAAATCAAGAGCTTAGATGAGGAATATGCCAAAAAGAAAATATGAGGAGGACTTTCGTTTCATGTTCATCTATGGTTGAGAGAGAGTCTCGAGAGTAAATAATTCAAAAAAAAAAAAAAAAGGAAAAGAAAGGAAGGAAAGTGTCTCAGGAATTAAAAAGCAAAACCCATCATCATCATATAAAAAAGGAAAAAAAGAAAAAAAAAAAAACCTGGGTGACCCAGGGATGAGTTTAGAAAACAGGGAGGAGAGACTAACCTTCAACAGAAGACAGAAACTGAGACTTGGAGACTTGAGAAAGAATCGGAGCAGGGGAGAGATGGAGACTCAAATTTTTTTGTTTCTTTTTTGAACAGCCGAAGGGAAACTCAATAATGCAATGGTTGATGCAAGAACATGTGCATCATGCACATTGCACAGAACAGAAAGGTGGTTTTGGAGGTACTCCTAAGAATCATGATGAATTTGCTTGTTTAGGAAACGTGTTAGTTTGTACGCAAGTTATTGCAGATTTTGGGGTGGTATTTATAATTGGAAAAAATAACTAATTTTAAGCATCTCATCTCCACTAGGGGATGGAATCATGCTAAGAGTTTCACATAGAGGAGCTTGTACTCAAGGGGGAACATCATGAATTGACTTTGGCAAGTGAGAAAAGGGTCGACATATGCTCTCTAGTTTTCTGTCAGTAAATGCATCCTGCTGTCCCTCAAAGTGTAAAAGCAAATATATGCTCTCTAGTTTTCATGAACAAAGTAAAAATGTAATATGTCTTTAGGGAAGGAAAGGAGTCTATCATCCATTCGTAGATCTTACAGGAAAAGGTGGAATTGAACCTTATTTTCTAGTTCAAGTCACAGTTAAAGCTTCAATTTCACAGGACGGACAGCATCTCAACTTCTGGTATCAGTTGCATGCAGCTGAGCAGAAACATCGTCTATGGCAAAATTGAGTTGCGCAATCTTATCTTCCAGTATTTGTCGGTTTTTCTGTTGTCATAGCAACACATGATCAAGCTTATTAAAAACTTATCAAAGAAATTCAGCATAGACTTTAAATGAAGATGCATTTACAAGATAGCATGACTGAGTTAGATGAATTAAGCTATTTTAGTTGAAGGTCTAAAGCAAAGATCATAGATTTGAGCTCAACACTTGAAACATTTCCTGATTATAGGCAAACAAAGCAGATAACAACAGATAAACATGTAAGCTGCCGTAATTTATACCAATCTTCGTGCTAAATTTGATACCTAACAGCCATAGAATTATTAACAGCATAGTTACTTTGCCTAACAGCATAGGTGCTAAAAGAATGGTTATTCCATGGTTATTACATGAAAATGAAGTAAAACAGACGGAAACTATGGAAAAGTGAGAATAAGGCCAACTACCATTTTAATAAGTGGAACTGGGATGGTAATATTGCAAGCCCCTGCCCAGGACCTAGGTTTTAGTTGTTACTGCCTTATTGCCGCTACTTCATAGAAAATACATAAACTTTGTCACTACCTTGTGACCTCGTCATACACTCCCTATATCTTTATTTTATTTTCAAGTAATAGCCATGCAATTAACTGACATGACCATAATGATTTTTACACATAGTGAGCATGATTGAAATAGATGATATATATGGTCTTTCACTCAGCGTAAGTGACATCACATGCTCAGCATAAGTAACATCACACTCAAGTGATGTGATCCTACTTTGTGGCAAAAACAGGATGAAAAAGTGGAGAAAGGGGACTGAGGTAATTGACTGAAAATTTCTACCTCCAAGGCCTTTTCTTCATCATATATAAATTTCGGCAGCTTTTTCATCAAACCTTTTCTGTCAACTCCTGCTAGCGCCTTGCTAATCTGCAAAATTTGGATAAAACATTATATTAAACAAAACCGATCACACATTCCTTCTAACTTCTAAGTGCATAACCATTTTCCATAACCCAAACTGAAGACCAATTATGCATGCATGCTTGCTAAGCCCATATGGGCCAGCGAAGGCCAATTCTACATGCTTGCCAAGCCTATATGGACCATACTGAACATTTACTTTCCTTTAAAAATAAAGTTCCCCTTTTATTACATTGGACAGTATCAAATCATAAAAACAAACAACTTAAAGAAGAAAAAGTGATTGCACATACAAGAACAAGACCCGGAATGGAAATGCAACCATGGTAAATAGAAGAGATACTCCTACCATACCTCGGGAGCATACACACATCCCAATGTTCCAGCAACTAGTCCTCCCAATATAAAGCTACCAACAAAGAGAGCTGCACTACCCTCTCTTCCACCATCCCTACTGAACTCAGAAAGAAAGCAAGCGTTTGCAAACAAATATAAACAGCTGACATGACAAGGATCCATATGAAGAATAATTAACATGAAAAGGCTTTACAAGAGCTCTGAGAGCACTAACATGACGCCACACAGATCATTAAGAGAAGAAAAAAGATAAATATTTCTTGACAGCTTCTTAATAACATCCAATCTGAATACACAACTAATGCCAGAGGAAATGCATCCCATTCACGCTGGAAGAACTTCAACAGTCAAACAAATAGGAAAGAAAAAGGGTTACCCACAAGCAGTCATTGATAAAAATAGTTAAGCAATTAAGAAACAAGAAAATAGAAAGAAATGCAACAAGAATGAGACATCCCATTTCCAAAACAGAATAACATACATACCCTGCTCGAATGGCGAGTGACTTTCTACACGGACTGGGTTTTGCATTTGTGCTGAAAAGACATTGATCCACTGTCCTCAAAGCACCTAGCAAGTAGCAACCAACAATTTACAATAAAGGGCAGGCAAGAACAACAACATCGAATGCAATGCAGTATGTAGCATCATCAGAATCAAAACCCCACATGAACAAAGCCCACCAATATAAATAACAACACCAAAGAGACGCTATTTACAGTCCACTTCCGTCATGGCTAAATCTAACACCTTCTTCTGAAATCACGCACCTTAAAATGAAAGAAATCAAGAATATTCAGGAATCTCACAATAAATTACAGAAGTTAGGATTACCATGAACGAGCTTGCTTTGAGGATTGTTGATGGAAACGAATGAGGTGGTGAGAGCGGTCATCTTCCTTGATGGAGTCGCGCTAGAACAGGATTTTCCCACTTCTTTAGTATTTTCTTCTTCGGAAAAACCGAGGAAAATCCTGTGTCGTGTCCTGTTAA